CCAATGACCGGGGGTAATAATGTAAAGCGCTTAGAAGCCTTGTTGGTATGAGCACTGCAGTCTTACTATTTTTAAAACAGCAATATTAATCTGTTTGTTAATGATACACACCATTTTATCAGGTCTATTTGAACAGCGCCACTACCAATGAATCGCAACTTTTCGCTGGGAGACATCTAAGAGGTCCACCTTGTTGTTCGCAAATCTCTTTTTCCAGATATATCTTCTGTTTAGTAATTTTACTACAAAAAACACTGCAGGTTTTATGTGCCCCTATTTTCTTTCTTTTTTTCTTTTGTTCCATTTTGTTTAGTCTAGTAAACAAAACTAAAAAAACTTTAAAAACCTATTTTTAATAAGTTTTTTCTTTTTTTTATATAAACTATCTAAATGAAATACCAGTATTACAAAGCTAATTCTCTCCAGAATACCGCAGTTCACACACTATCATTATTATTCAAGTATTCAACATCAATATTTGGATAATAATAATGTAGCTTTGGCATTGTTCTTTTTACCAAATTTAAGACCATACACTTTTCCGAAATAAGTTCATGTTCACAGCCAGATAATTAATAATGCATCCTTTAAAATTTCACTCTTATGTGTAAAGTATTTTTAAAAGATTGGAAGGTCATTTTTTTTCTAAAAACAAATTTTAACCATGATAGATAATTAGGAAGTGAGGTGAGGGAAGCAAGATGGACATAAAAGATGAATCACCGAGTTTCCTTCTTTAATAGTCTCTGAATAATCACCTCAAAGGGTCAGGGCAAGTCTTATTGTTGCGGATGGTCAACAATAATTGTCGGCCTACTGGCCATTGTCAGACATGACGCATTGAGGATATGAAAATGGATGTTTTTCCTTTCTTCATAACTCGTCACATGTGAATGTAGAATCTTTTGAATCAAAGCTGTAATTATCTTTTAAATTAAGCATTACATAATATGCTTATTTTATTTTTTAATTTAATCAACATTTGTGAAGATTCATAATTTAATAATTGCAAGTTTTGATTGATGAATAACTGTGAAGCATTTTTAAGCAGACATTCAACTTGATTACTTTGTTCTAAAAATAAAACAAAAGTAATTGAAGGTCTGTCCAGATAACTTCTTTGACAAAAAACTGTCCATGTAGTCATTTATTTATATTTTCTTTATTCTGAAATGTACTGTCAATACAAATGTACTGATTTCTAAAGTGGTTCAGTTAAAAACAAAAGTAGATATAAAAATCAAATGATGTGCCTACATAAAATATATGATCATGACCATATTTAGGCATGTCTCCTTGTTTTGTCAAATACAATTTCGTAGTTTAGACTGGGTTTCTGTACTGTAGCTTCAATTCAATAAGCAATTATAGGATTAAACCTTGTTAAACTGTGATTATGTTAAGGATTAATTATGACCTCATCACTTGACCATCAAAGTAACTTTCTAATCCCAAACCCTGCACTAATTTTTAAGTAATAGTACTTACCTGTAGTTTCTTTAAACTGTTGGACAAAGGTTATAAAACTTTTACAAGATTTTAGAATGGAATAATTCTTTTAGGCCCTGTTTCATCATCGTAATTCCTACTTTTTCTGGTCTTGTTACTGCATCTAACTGGCTAAAATGGAGTCAAATGCAAGACTAATCTTCCAAATATTACCATCGTAACATGGAGGTATAAAAACAGATATAAAATAGGTATAAAAATATAAATATAAACATTTTTACACCTCCATGATCGTAATATGAGTTTGTAAAATGTTCATGAAAATCTTATTTCCCCATATTTAAATTTACGTTCCTTTACACTAACGTTTAGTAGTTTCATTGCAGTAGTAAATTCATGTGTTAAGGACAATTCTCACATACAACGAACATGATTAAAAAAATATAAAATGTGTATGTCGTACGTATAAGACGACTCTCTATGTTTCTGTCATAATTTGCTATTTTTGTCCCTAAAGAGACCCGCCCAGATGGCTGATCGTATCGTTAATTTACAGCGTGAAGACTTGCGAATTCCACAGAGATTTACTGCCAAAAATAACTTGTTACATCATGCAACAAACAAGTTTAAGCAAAAAGGGAAGAAGAACTTAAACAAATTCGGGAGACCAGGAGATAGTATGTAAATTCGGAGGACTCCAACTCGAATCGGGAATTTGGAACCTTTGTAATACCCTAGGCTAGGTAGAGTCTAAGCCACTCTAGGCAGTGATATAAGTGATGTGTGATCGTGTAACCTACTAGAACGTGTGAAAAGAGAGCAGACATTGCGTCTAGGCTTTGCTACTGTAGGCTGTACAAGCAGTGCATGTGTATGGTAACATATTCAAGATAGGCCAACGTGCATAAATTGGGAAAAAATTTTATTTCATTAAATTTAGCATTAAACTCTGTAAATATTCAACCTATTTTTATCATCTATACAGTAGTTACTCACATGAATGTGTTCTTTCCATTGAATTTATGTGAAACTATATTTGCAGTCAATTAAAGGATATAATTTTTTGTCTTCCTAGGCTAGATAGGCCCTAGGCCTATCTTTGAAAGAGCGGTTACAGGCAGAAATGATTTCAACTGTAGGCCTACATCATTAGTGTTACCCGACTAATAAAGGCCTAACACCAAAAACAAGATAGGTCTCTAGGCCTTACCTAGCCTACCGCTACTAGGTCAGGGCTACTCTAGGCCATAGGCCTACTACTAGTAGTTTAGGGCCTAACTAGTGTAGGCAGCAGGCTAGGCCAAGGCAAGGGCCGCCCTAGCCTAGGCTGCTTAGGTACTGTCAAAGAGTATAAAACTGCAAGAGGTCCAACTGCCGGGGATTCTTTCTTCTTTCTTCAAAAAGTACTACCCAAAAGGGGCGTGGCCCTTAAAAGAACGTAAAGTGCATTCATACCAAACGCGTGCTGCGTGTCTATGCTGGAATTCGAAACGCGGCACGCGTTTGATACGAACACCTTTTACGTTCTTATGAAGGAGACGCCCCTTCGTGGGAGTACTTTTAACGTTCCATTGCCTGTATACTGTACAAAATAAGGGCAGTCGGACTTTTTGCAGTTTTATACTCTTTGGTTGGATTCGGACGTAAACTCAATTACATGGGTAATCTACTAATAACCTCGGGGCTAAATGTGACGGTCGTTCGGACGAGTAAAATAACAATCCATTTACCCATTATTTTGACGGAAGTTACGTATTTTACAAGCTTTTGCAAGGTCTGAATTTTGAATAGTTCGTGACCTGAGTGATGACCCCGTGTCAAATTAGCAATGTTTTTGCGGCAATTTCAATACTTCATACACGAATTTACACTATTTCTGCTTACTTTTTTATACAATTTACTCATTTCCTTGCGATTATCCTAACAAATTGACGCTGAATTATGATTAACCCAGCCGCCCTAACTATCCTGACAACTTTTATATTGCTTCTCGACGATGGATTTGATCTAAACCAAGCTTTTCGATGAAGAAAGTACAGCAACGACAAAGACCACGACCAGTGTGGAAAGAAAGCTTGGGCAACAATGCGAAGAATCATTCAGCGTGGTCGCGAGCTTCTTTTTGTCCAGTGCACTCTGACCCGGCGTTGTTTACAATTCTGAAGGGTCAACTTGTGACCTGGGCCTTGTTACGAGTGATTAATTACGCCTTGAGGCAAGGTGTAATTGAAATATCCAGTAAAAAAGGTGGGTTTTTTGGCCAGATGTTTTTCGAATTTTCTATACCCAGGGGCATTATTTAATTGCCGCACGCGACCGCTCAGCTGGTGGTACCCAGTTAAATTTTACTCGTCCGAATCGGCCCTTTGGTACTGTAGCTAGATACAAAACCGATAGAGGGCGCTATAGATCGGCGATACAAACATCGCAATAGAAAATAGTGCCCCAAATCGATTTAGTAGAAGTTTTTTTAGTACAACCAATGTTTCGTCGATTTTCAATAATAAAAGGAAACCTTCGCTAGTTTTTTGGTTTAAATGTTTGTTTTCTTCAGTTTTTAAACTATAAAGATAAGTAAGTTTTAAATAATATTTCTGAGCATATTAATTGAAATAGATAGCATAAAATTCTATTGTCTTATCACATACTGCAGCTAGGCTCGGCTTGTACGAATAGAGGGTGCCCTCGTTAATTTGCAGCAGCTACACGCGGGGTAAACTATGTTTTCCCCGCTGGCCACCGTGTTGTCTGAGGCCAGCAATTAGGCCTAGAGTTATGCGATTTATTATACGTAGAATCTATAAGTTGATAAAAATTATTAAATCTAATATAAATATATATACTAAATTATAATCGTTAGTAATTGTCAATGTATTATTTTAACATGGCCTAAAATGCTACATAATTATACTGTAACTTATGTAAGGGACACACTTCTTGTATAATAATAAAAACAATTGCTTGGAATCAACTCCAGCAAAAAAACATATTTAAAATAGCAATATCTCCACTAATATTGGTCCGATTTACATAATTTTTGTTTTAAAATGCTTCATTCAGTTATGTCTTTCTATTAAAAATAAATAAAAAAATATTTGGGACATTTCATTTTTTTTTGTTTCTAGGGCCTAGGCCTAGCTAGCTTAGGCCTAGCCTAGCCCTACCCAATTTCAATAATTTGTTAATGTTGAAATACCAAGTTTTGTTAATTTTTATTTCAAAATGTATTTTCATAATACAATTTCATAGAATTGTAGGTACTGTAGGCCTTCTGTGGACCTCTACCTAGGCCTACAGTAGCTGCCAAGCTAGCTTATCATAAGCACTGCTACGACTTCCCCACTCTCGGCGTAGGCCTAATCCAAGATGGCAGCCTCCATGAATTGCATATTTTCAAAGATGTTTGTAAATATCTATAGTTTGGTACGTAAATAAATGTCTATTATGCTACAGAATTGGAGTTAATGAACAAAGGGTGTTACTGATTGATTATTATAATTTCTCATGATCAAGTATACATTTTATAAGGAAATACAATTGATAATACATACCATAGTTATTTCGACGTGGCTAGAGATACGATACCGTATCGGAACTTCCGATTGCTAAAGGTACGTATATAATATGACGTCATGATAAGCCAATAGAAATGTCGATACATGCGTGACGTCATTCTCCTTATTAGTGATGAGTGTGTGTGTGTGTGTGTGTGTGTGTTAGATTATTGAGAAGATCACTCGGCAAATCTACGCGCACGCAGCGCTATGCAAATGAACCAAGATCAAAGTTGCCGCAGCGCGTAAAGACCACTTGCGCGATGCCTTTGAAGTCCCATGTGTTCCCCGCCATCAAATTTTCAGCAGGCATAATTGACCAAAAAATTGAACATGACGAAATGGAGACCACCTCCTTTTCTCAATGCGCACTACATACTGTCAATCACTATGGCTGCGCAATCTTTTCTGTTTTGAAGCTGATACATTTATCTCTCATAAAATATCAAACATATTAATATTTCCCACCAAGAAAAGTTTCGAATTTAATGGAACATTTACATGACCTATAAAAGTATAGTATATTTCAACTTCAATTTTCATAAATTGGCCAAAATTCGCCAATGCTAATTTTAACAGATATTAATTAATAAATGATTAAGGATTATAATAAACTAAGTCATTTTAGGGTTAAAGAGGGTTAACTATTCGAAAAATGAATAAAAAATCTGAGTATTTTTCAGTTTTACTTAGCTTTATAGTCGAACCAGTAAATCTTTAGACAAAATTATAATGAACACAGAAGTAATTTTAACATAAATATTTTACGGAATCCGTTCCTGAAATATACAAGCGAGTGTATGCGCGTCCTGCGCATACACTCGCATGCGCAGAGTACTCTTATGTGACGTTATGTTTCAGATCTTATACCGTCAACATGCTGTTGACGGATGTAGTTGTCTTCCATACAGCCGTTGTTTAATGAGTCCATAACACCTGTTACAAAGCAATGGTCGATTTCCTTGGACTTTTTCCAGTAATTTCACACAAAAAAAAAATCGTCGAAGAACAACAAATGATATTAAAGGAGAGCCAGCATCCGCTTGTTCTGCACCCATGGGGCTTAAGGTGTTGCCCGTAACGAATATTAGCTGGCAACAATAATGACGAGAGACCCAGATGGACCGGGATTAGCCCATTGATGGCATAAAGTGACGAATGATTCATGAACGGTCAAAATGTGTTTTCCAAAAAGCAATTAATCTTAGGACTGAATCTAACTGTACAATCGGCTTGGTAAAGCCACAGACCTAAAATATAGGGTTTGTGGTAAAGTATGTAAATTTTATATGCCTATATTAATATTAATGGTTTCTATTATTATTATTAATATATATATATATACACACCTGTATATACATACATATATATATATATATATATATAT